ATAAAAATCTGTATTCCTCTACACCAGTATTACCAATAATAAAGTATACTCTGAATCTAGATGCGGTTTACTTTTATACTTCTTTTCTGTTGATCTTGATTACCCTTATCTGTTTTTTTGTTGTTGTTTCTGAAGGATTACTTGCTGTAACATTTTGTACCACCACATCCTTCAGTAAGACTAAAAGTAGGGCCCACCGGGTTGAGCCTGCAGGTCACTCTGGCAGCACTGTGAAGGGAGTGCTTGTTTTCTGGGAAACGAAGCTGCGGCCAAGTCCAGATGCCGAAGCCCTCCCTAGGGACAGCATCCTGGGACCAGACTGGAGGAAGTGCAGTGTGAGAGCAGGCGAGGACTGGGCCTGGATCGCTGTCAGCTGCCTGCGCAGCCGCAGGATGAGAGGCTAAATCACTCGGCTCCCTCCCTCCTAAGCCTGAGCCACATGTGGTATTCATTTAAAACAAGCTTGAGAAGAATAAAAATGGGAAGGGGGGGGGGCACGGAAAACAGCTTTATGACACATCAGGATTAAAGGATTACTCAGTTGAGCTAAAAACAACACTTCTTTAGGTATTTGTTTCCAACGAAGGTGAAACGACCACTTTCCAGCTTGTCTGTGATGGTCAACCGCTCATCCACAACCACTTATTGGGAAGAGGTTAAACACAATGAGTGGATAGGAGGGATCTGTTTTAATGTTTCACTCAACATCATTGCCAGCCTTGATTTACTGTGTGGTAAAAGTAGGCTAATTCAGAGGAGAAAATGTGAAATACTTTGTAACCCATGATGTCCCCCCCTGCTTCATTTTTTAATCAGAGTCGTTACTTCTAACAGTTTTAGGCCCTTCATTTAGACTTGCTCAAATGCACTCATGCAGTGTAAATACATAAACAATATTTTTCTTTTCTTTTGGGATCACAAAATCACCGCCCTGTGGTTATATAGTTTCTGCTAAAAATGTCCTCTAATAGCTTTTTCCCAAACGCGCTGTTGGATTTCTAATCCATTTCACCCTGGGAAACATTTTAAGTCAACACAATGACTGACATTTACTCAGAATGTGTGTTGACTTGGATTTATTGCACATTAACCTCCTTCACCAGCAATGTGAGGGTGCACTCACATTGCAAGCCCTACACTTGGTCTACGTCATGTATCCTGAAAATACAGATGCCTTAAAAGAAGGGCTCATGGAAGTATAAAGTGAGAGGAAATATAAGATAGGAAACACTGCAGATGCAGAAAGCTTATCTGTAGAAACACACAAGGAAGAGTTATGGATGGCTCAATTAAATGCGAGTGTGGCAGGCTACAATATTTTAATCAGCGTCACGAGCCAAATGGATTTGCTGAGGATGGAATGTCTCCCTGCCAAACGCATGCAGTGATCAGTAAAGGAAAGCTTATTAAATGGAGGTGGTCATGGCACTGGCGCTTAACTTCCCATCGGCACACATTTCCTGCTGTCTCAGGGATTCTTTCCACTCTCTTTAGACACAATTATCAAGGGAGAGGCAGGCCTTCAGGAGGACGTTGTCTCTCTCTCTCTCTTGCTCATCCCCCTCCTCCAAAAAAAAGTCTCTCTCTTTCTAAGTCTCCCTTTCTCATCTGTGTTAGTAGCCTTGACCACATTCTGGAGAGTGAATAGTCTCACAGAAATTTATAAGCTTGTAGGATTTCGCCCTCTAGTGGTAAATATATGATCTTGCCTTGATTTGGATTCTACATTCAATGCTTTACCCCTAATTTGAGCAGGAAAATAGGATGATCTGGAATGAGTATATTTACCCTTAAAATGAGATAATGATGTATTATGCACTTGAATTAAGAGACTGCAGTTACTTTATTCTTATTTTAAATGTAAATTGTCTTATTTCTTTGGCAAAGTGTCTCATTTACCTGCTCAATTCAAGAAAATATGCACTTAATTTAACCCTTTATAGGGCACTCAGTAAAATACTTTGAAAATGCAAATTTCAAGCCAATAGTATTATTGGAATCCAGGACCTTTTTAGGTTGGTAACATAAAAAAAATATGTATATTTTGATGGCAAAAATTAATGTCAGTGTAATAACAAGAAACGGCAACTTGCCTAAATATTTAGAAAAATAACAAAAGTGTTTCTACAAGAAATTCATGAAAAACACTGTGAGACTGGATATAGATCCTGTGCTTCTAGACCTCACTGAGGGACGGGGGGGGGGTACTCCATTTGTAAGTATGCAAGTATGCAACAATCAGAGACAGGTTTCAGGTACTACAGGAGACAATCCCCCCCTTAATGGCAATCCCCCCTTTAACGACCGACCCCTAGAAATCATAGACAGGTTCAGATATTATAGGCTAACGATGGAACTAAACGACCCATTCATCGGTTACCATTGCATGTTTCCAAGCAATACAAGGCCTTGTCCATATAAGACTCAAACTCACTGCGGATCCAGACATTTGAATTGAGAAAGCTTCCTGTAGAGGTGGCGAAACGTCTTCAAATCTTGAAAACCAAGTCCAGTGGATATTTGTTGAATTTTTACGGAATGACTATGACCCGGATGACTGAGAACCTTCATCAGCACGTATGCAAGTGAGGGAAAATGGTAACTTACTTAGACTTACATTTTTAGCAGTTTTGTAATTTGTTCTATTTATTTAATTAAAACATTTCACGTCATTGGAAAAAATAAGAGGGAAAAGTGTTCAGGTGTTAATCATGTTTATTTTAGTGATTACTCTTAAATTTACATCCCCCAAATGTTGTTTCTTTGGAAATTTAAGAATTACATTAGACCAATTAAAAAGTTTATTTTTTAATAGATGGAAGTTTGTTGTAGTATTTTATGGCCTAAACCATAGGTCTTCAACAGGGGGTCCGTGACCCCTAGGGGGTCCGCGGAGGTACTGCATGGGGGTCGCGAAACTTTTGGTTGATTAATTTTTTTTTTATATATATTCCCTCCTGAATTGAAATGTCTTTAAATCCACATTAACATGAATTCACACTGTAGTAAACAGATAAATGGAGGCAGAAGATGTCTTTCAGTCATCAATGCACACATTCAGCAACACACAGGAACTCTTTCAAGCTGGGCAGCGTTTCATTCACAACACCTGTCCCATCAACCAGGAATCAGAATCAGAAATACTTTAATAATCCCAGGGAGAAATAACTTTCCTTACATTACTCCATCTGTAATAGAGTGACTATAAGACCAGGTTGATATAACACAGTTTCATACAATATATATAATTAGGGGGTCCCCGCTCCATCTTGTCATCAGTTTGGGGGTCCTTGGCCTGGAAAACGTTGAAGACCCCTGGCCTAAACTATCACCAGGAAGACTGCTGCCTTGACATTTGACCAGCAGTACTTGACTGCCTAAAATGTACAGTACGATACAAAAGGCTGAAGAAGTTGGCTGTCAGTGCACTATTCACGCATAATAAGGGATGGTGTGGTGGAAGGAAAAACATGTCATAGAAAAAGGTACACAAAATCTATTTAGTGTTTAGGCGAGTTCAGAGGTGGATAATCTAGGTCCAGCTGAAGAGCCTGCCATTCTTTTCCTTCATCCTGTTCACTTAAGCAGGTGATTAGACCCTTAGGTGATTAGTTTGTCTTCTGGAGCTGGAAATGCGAATGGTTGGAAGTGATCTCAATACAGGATTTTTACTTTCTGTAGAAGGATCATCCACCTCTGGACGAGTTTCACGAGATATGGACCGTAGATGGAGTCAATGGTTCAAGAACCACCATAGCCAGACATGTTCATCACATGGGCTACAGCTGCTCTGTTTGTTGTGTTACGCCACTAATGAACCTCAGACATCAGAAATGCTGTATCAGGAGATAAGGAGGAAAGAATTTGACTCACTCACTGGCTCTAAGGCTTCAGTCAAATCAAAGTATTTTAGGTGTTTTATTTAGAGTCAAGGTTCCAGATTCTGGCAGAAAAGCAGAGAGCTTCAAAATCTCAGTCTGGTAATATTTGGAGTTTCATGTCATCTGTTGGTGCTTGTCTAACTCAAAGCCACCCCAGCCTGCTTTCTGGATGTCAGAGAATTTAATACTTCCTTAACTCACAGGCTTCATGGAGGAGCTGATGTAAATTTCCAGTTGGACCTGACCGCTCCCCATTTTGCCAAAAATACCAAAACCTATTTTAATGACAGTCGATCGTGGGGATGACCATCAATGTGGCTGAGTGGTCCAAAAACTTACCTAACTCTTTTCACATATGGAATATTATCAAAAGTAAGATGTGAGACACCATTGGCAACAATACTGGTGAGAACTGTAACTGAACAATATTTCTTTTTTTACACCCCTGTGTGTACAAAGTGACAATAAAGTCTAAGAAGGCCATGAATAAAACATCTTAGCCTCCATCCGTTCTAAGCAGATACATTGGCTGATCACTTCCATGTTACATTGCATGAATGAAGCAATTCTTGCAAAAGGGGCCCCAACTATTGTGTTAATATTCTGTCCAGTGCAGGCTGGCATTTCTATATTAAAAGTTGGTTTAGAGTTTTGCCAATATAGCCCTGGGAATCGATGTCCCTGAGCTAGTTAATAGGCCAACAGATTTTTCTTTCAGAAGCTGACTGTTATGACTGTTGCTATAAGGTTCTGCTTGTGAATTATTTATGAAACTTTTTAAAACATGATTTTGGGAATAAAACCATATGCAATGGGCACAGAGACAGAAAGGGAGGTGAGAAAGGGAGAGGGGATAATAATTAAGGGGAGAGTGAAAGAGATAGGAGAGAACAAAAAAATAAGAAAAAACAAAAAGAAAACAGAAAAATAAAAAACAACACAGAAGATATACAGTAATTGCTAGAAGTTTTCTTTCTCAACTGCATTAGAAGTGAGGGAAATTAAACAGAAAACAAAACAACAGCAAAGAAAATAACCATAAACTTACTATGATATTCTAATATATTGTAATTCTGTAATAATGACATTCCTGAACCATTTTGTCTTTCTTCTAAAAAGGCTGTTCCTTCTGGTCCGAGGCCGCCCACTAGTGGAAGCTTAGCAGTCCTATCTTCCCAATCCCAACCACAGCCATCAGCGCCTAGCAACCAGCAGAAAGGCCCAGCCAGAGCCCAGTCCATTCAAAGACAGGCTAACCATCCCATCAGCAACACAGTAAGTTGCACGTAGAGCTTAGAGAATTGCTCAACATTGGTTAAACATCTATCATATATGCCTTTTTCTCTCCTTTTCAGGACAAAGACAATTCACATGATCAGTTTAGTCGACATCTCACAAGACCACCACCAGATTATAAGCAATCAAGAAGCTTGGTGGGGATTCAGCAAGGAAACATCTTTTCAGGTACTGAACTTGTTAAGATTTCATGCAATATAGCAGTAGCTAAATTCCTGGGAGGTAATATTAAATGGACCTTTTTGTAATGTCTCTTTAGGTCAAAATCCTGCGCAATCACCCAGCAATGGCCCTGACAACAACTTGCAACCCATATCCTGCCAACTCTCCAGCAGGCCTAACTCAAAGATGAGCCCTTTGCCATCAGATCGCAGATTCGCTGTACGGCCAGACTGCCATACAAGTTCTTGTATCAGCCAATTCCAGCAGCAAAACAGTCACAATCAGATTGGACTGAATCAAAGTAAACCTAGGTTCATGGGACCAAACACACAAGGGAAATCCTTTGGGATAAACAATTTAGCAGGTGTGCAACACCAGAGAGCAACAGCTGACTTACATTCCTCTGGGATGCCAGTACAGAATCGTGCAGGCTCAATGACAAATGTCAGCCTGGGCTGGGGGTCAGCTAACAAGCATGTGACAACTGGACTGGGTGTTCGGCGTCCACCCCACCCGCTACAGTCGCAGGGTGTGCAAGACCTGCCGAACCAACCATACCAGCAGAGACACGTCGGACCACCCAACCAAGTAGCACCAGACGTCGGGATGCTCCCTCTGAACCCACCCATAGGAGACACAAGTCAAGCCAGACCAACTCAGGCCATGATGGGATGTTCGTCCCCACTGGGGAACCTGAGCCAGGCCTCTCCAGAGCAAAGGGTACCAGCAGCTAGTTTTCCAGATGCCAGTCCGAGCTCAAGCAGCTACCAGAACAACCGGTCCAACCGTCTGACCTTTGATTTCCTCCCCGAAGGGGACAACACAGTCCCAGGGATCAATGCTGACTCAGACTTCATTGACTCTCTGCTTAAGTCAGGCTCTGGGAATGATGACTGGATGAAAGATATAAACCTGGATGAGATTCTGGGAAGTCACTCATAGATTTAGATCACAGGTTGCAGAAAATAAACATGCAGCTCAATTTATAGTTTATATCTGTAATGTAGAAGAGACACAATTTGTAATTAATGTTTAAAAGAATTTTATAAATCCAAATTAAATGTTATTCCTGTATACAGATTTTGTTATTATTTACTGTGAAATAAATGTATGTTTGTGTTCTCAGTATGTATTAGTCTTTGGTATATTCCCCCAAGAATCCGCTTTCCCGTTTTTGTTTTTTGTGGACTGTATTTTATAAATTAGTGCTGTGGTTACAAAATATAAATACACACTGTGAAAAGAAAACCTTGCTGTGTTACTTTCTAAGTCCCTTTGCTCTTATGTTTCTTAACCCACATTTAGCATGTTATAGTATTTACCCTCCGATCATTTTCCACACAGTGAATTTTCCAAATCAAAGGTTTACTGATATTGTTCAAACATTTTCATCTGTGGTAGTTTTAAATGCTGTTGAAGTAATGTAACCCTTATTTTTCTCATGTAATATTTAATACTCTGAGAAATTAGGCAGTATAATACACGTAGTTAATAAAATTTATTTGAACAAAGTCTTAGTTTCATCTGTTTCTCTTTTTGTTTAAGGAAGAGCTGATATTAAAGGATGTTCTGTCACACTTACCTGTTTGATAGTATTGTATTAGTTATATGGTTTTACTAATAGATTCAATAACATACTTCAATACAACCTAGTAATATCAGTTTTCATGATTAAAAAAGTATCCTGAGCAAAAATTGGGCACCATATAAAAAAAAAAGTATAGAGCTTAAAATATGTGCTAAAAGAATGTAAAAGTCTGTCTTACATTTTTACAGCAGCATCTCAATGGAACCCAAGACTTTGGGCTGAAATAGGCTATTATGTGGACTTTTAAAAAACAAAAATAGAACATGAATAGTGTGCATCCTGGTATATATAGTGGTAAAACTTACACAGCTTTAAAAAAATAAAAAAATCCCAAAAAGCTGCATTTAATGTGTTGGTTTTGGTTTTGCTGCCTCTTTAGAACCTGGGAAACAATTACATTTAAACATGAACCAAAACAATATCACAAAAAGATGTGGACCAAAATTCCTCTATAGCAATGTTTACACCTCTTTGTCAGTTCATGTGAATACTGAATGTCAACTGATGCTGCCAAGTCTAAGACAAGATAAGACTTAATCTCACAACAGAGAAATTCACTTGTGACATCAACTCAAATAAACAACTGGAGGTCTGAAATAGGGTGCATCAAAGAAGTGTACAATACAGGTTAAAATGTCTATCTATCTATCTATCATCTAATAAAAGAGAATTAAGGTTTCTTGTATATGCCTGTGGTTTGGTAAATTAGGTAAATGCTCTTATTGTACAGGGGTATTGCACAATAGTTATTACAAAAAGTTATGTCACTGTGGTATTGTTAAGTCTGACAGCGGGGATGAATGACCTGTGGTAACGCTCCATCCTACACACCCAGTGTAAAAAAGGAGCAAACAGTAATTAGGTTTAAAGGGCAGCAGCTCTTTTACATAAATTCATGTTGGTTTAAATTGCTTTTATGAAATCATAAATTTCAAACTACTGTTTCCAAATATTCTGAATAACAATCTTTAATGTTAATGTTATGTTATTGAATGTTATTTGATGTGTGAACCTTTTGAATAAAAATAAGTAGATCTGCAGATTTCTGACTGACCATAAGGGGGAGACGATTAACACTTTATAGCAAAATATCCATAGTGAGTTTGATGTTGTGAATTATTTTTGACTGAATTAATCTACAGATATTCTTTATGTTATAAATAGAAATTCTTTTATTTATGTTAGGTAAAATTTGTTGATAATCTTTTCATACACTTGATTCTTTCAGCATTGTTTATGATTATACCAAAAATACATTAGTTACATCATATTAATTTCTGCAATGTCATTTTGAAGCTACTGTTTCAGTTCAATACAGTATTAGCACTCCAATATCTTAGCAACCATTAGGATAGGTAGATTTGTGCTTATTGCGTGTTTTACATACACTATACATACATACATACATACATACATACACTATATTGCCAAAGGTATTATCCCACCTCTTCAAACAATGCAAATTAGGTGTCCCAACAAATGCTGCACCTTGGAAAGGTAAGTGTGGATCACCACAGTTGCTCACTCAGTTCCTGCATGGTTACGTGATATGATGCTGCCTGTTCAATAAGGCCAGAGGCCCAGCTTACAAAGAAGAGTGAATGAGTAGAAAGCAGATACTCTAGAGCTACTTAAATCTGTCATATCTGTGCCATGCCACAAATGCTTAAAAGTTCCTCAACTCTGAATCAAGTTAAACCTGAGTTAAGCGTGAAGGCAAACATATAAGAAGCCCTCATCGATGGAATGCAGATTAAACAATTCAACATGGCAATGGAAGGAAGTAAGCGCTTTAAGGTGTGTATTTCTTACCAATTGGAATTAATAATCTTAATGACCGCTTATGATAAATTCAACTAGAAAAGCATTCTGGGAGCGCAGACCTCTGCTAAGCTGGAAATTTTGCCCCATATTGTGCCTTACACCTACAGGTACAACTTACAGTACACATATCTGGATCATTACCGAATATTAATGCATTTTTCCTTGGACACAGGTGCACCTAGGGTAAACATTTCCTTTAAATCCTTTCATAAGTTTATGCATAAGGCACAGTGTGTGACTGCAGCCTCTGGTGTTTGTTCTGCTCTCACATTTGTTCACTCTGCTTTCTTCTTTTATCAGAAGATCAAGACTTCAATCGAGGTATGGATCACCTTCCTGTGTTTTTTTCTTCAGCATTGTACTTTTGATTCATATGCTGATGCTCAGGTTTAGGGGTAAGTTGTACATTTTAGGACATCATCAGTTCTCAGGAAAAAAGTAGTCAGTTCTCTGGTATCAGAAGGCATTGGATGTCTTTTTTAAAAGGTTTGTGGAATTGTTACCAACTAGACAGATATTTGAGCTTAACGAAGCAACATTCTCACCTAAAAACACTTTCAATGTTTATTTTGGGTATTATAAAGCGGAATATTCTTGGTGTGTTCCGATCCGGCGACTGTATCCTTTGAAGACTGCATTTTTCGGCCGATAACGTCATAGCATGGAACCGTGGCCTGTTCGGATTTAAGACTCCTCCATATGCAGCTGACAAATGCAGCCTTCTTTTTGCCCGTTTTGAAGGACAGGTCCAGTGTATCCTCCATAGCCTTGGGCATCCCATGATTCATAGTGAGTCCAAGCAAGCTGACTGCCCCGTGCTCAGACGAAAAAGGGAAATGGAGCTGAAAAGTGGTGAATATTGTAAGTGCAATATAATATAATGTATCTGTAAAGAATCTTGGTCATCCAGGTCATAGTCAAGCTTGAAAAGTGCAGTTTAGGCAACTGGAGCTGTGAAGTTTTGTAGAAGAAGTTTCGCCTTTCATCCAAGGGGCTTTTTCAGTTCTAACTAGTGGTGGGGAGCACTGAGATTAATATACTGTAGGTGAAACAAAGAATTAGGGGGAACAAAAGATTGTTCTGATTCCCCCTACTGGATTGGCCAAGGAGGTCCCTGCGGGGTGTTAATGGTCATTAGGGGGTTCTGATGGGTCATTAACTCCCTCATCAGAGTGGTTTCACTCACATGCCTCATTGAACTATGAGTCATGTGAGGGCATGTGGGAGGTAAAATCTTCTGGGTATTGTTCCTAAAAATGCTTGGTAAGTAGGTAAAAGTTTATGTCTAAGATCACCTCTTCTGTTGAGAGATAGTTTTTCCAGGTTAACAAAGATGGCTTCCTCAATCCCTCTCTCAAACCATCTTTCTTCCTTAGCCAGAATATGGAAGTTGTTGTCCTCAAATGAGTGCCCTTTAGCCTTCAGGTGTAGGCGATCAGCTGAGAACTGTCCTGAGGAGTTGGCCTTCCTGTTTTGAGCCATGTGCCTGTGTAGTGATTGCTTTGTCTCTCCAATGTATAAGTCTGTGCACTCTTCACTACAATGAATGGTGTGAATCATGTTGTCAGCCTTGTCTCTGGGTGTGTTATCTTTGGGATGAACCAGTTTTTGTCTCAGGGTGTTGCCGAGTTTGAAGTGCACAATCAAACTGGTTGACAATCCTCCTGAGTTTAATATAATACAAGAATGTTAATAGCTCCATCTGAAATTAATGAAAATAGTTAAATGTTTTTTTCAGTAAGATGTGATGTGTAATGTTTGGTTTATTGAAAGGTTTTATCTGTCCCTGTGCAAATGGGTTTGGATGACATTTAAGCCCAGATTTAAGCATCTGTGCAGTTTGAGGACTACCATCTGATATTTGGGACCATGGTACTGCAACAATGTGATTAGCATACAGAACATTAGTTAAAAGTTCATCTAGGGTATTCTTTGCCTCATTTGTGTGTCAGCTGTCACTGTTTCTAGACAGCAGAGCGTATGCTGAGTAAGGGGCAGTGACAGCCGGATAAGGCTAGACCTGTTTGAATCTATAGCCAAACTCCTCCGGATCCCTTATTTTCAGGGTCCTCAGAGGACTCAGTCCAGGTAGTCCAGGTTTCAGAGGCTGCATCCTGCAAGGACCTTCGGGGGCCATGAAAATCAGGAGGCCAGAAGAGTTTGGCTATGGATTCATACAGATCCACTCTGTCACCTAGCAACTGTGACCACTGAAACACAAAGCAGGCACAGTCATAAATCTTATTAAAAAACCTTTTAAAACAACCAACTTCATTAATTTCAGACTGAACTATTGACATACTTTATTATATTAAACTGCACTTAAAATATTCACCACTGTTCAGCACCATTTCCCTTTTTCCTCTGAGCACGGAACAGCCAGCTTGCTCGCACTCCCAAAGAATCACGGGACAGCCAAGGCTACGGAGGATACAACAGACAATGTCTGGCAAAACGAGCAAAAAGAAAGATGCATTTCTTGGCTGCATAAGTAGGAATCCTCCAATCTGAACAGACCATGATGTAATTGATCGATGAATCTGAGGACGCAGCTTCCAGAGTCCAACACACCAACCATCACCTTTCAGCTCTAACTGAAGTTAAGACTGGCCAATAGAAACACAGGCCTGTCCATGACACATTTTCACACCGAGACAGAAATCCTGAGAGAAAATACTTAGGTTTTAAGAATGAGAAGAAGAAAATGTTTCAGAGAAATTTATATTTTAAAGAGAAAATATTTTCACTCTGATAGCAGAAAATACATCTATATTTGAGAATAAAAATATATTTTTGAGGGAGGTTTTTTCCACTTGTAAATCATTTTCCAAATGTCAATTTATGTTTTTATTTATTCTATAACGTATATGAGTATTTTTTCTCAAATCTTTTCAGTTTTTGCTATCAGTGTCAAAATGTGTTCTCTCCAATATATTGATTTTATCTTCAAAATTATTTACCCCTTTCAGATTGCTTTTTTTCTTGAATTTAATAAAAACACAAAAATAACTCCATATGTTCTACTATCCCATGAAGTGAAATTATGAACTGGAAACAGGGAGTTTCCTCAGCAATGTCAAAAGCAACTTCATTTAGTTGA